GGGGGGATGATACATGGGTGGCAAAGGTGGGGAGGGGATTGGAAGGGTTCGTGTTGGGCACTGCTCAAGGCATCAGTCTGAGGACGGAGGAGAGTGCTGGTCGTCGTGGGTGGAACCGTGGCTGGTAGCCCAGGCTGAACCACGGCTTACTGGCGCGTAAATGTCACGAATGATAAATCTCCTTGAAGGTGGATTGCTTATGATCAAAGGGGAGGGTCGTGCAATAAAAGATACCCCCCCTTTACTCCCGTCAAGGTATGTTGAATGAATGGGGGGGGGGATTCCCACCAGCGTTTTGTGCTTATAAGTAGCGACGGTGATTAATTAATACGGAATAGAGGGAGTGTGGTTTGTGTGCGCGCGCGCCCCGGCTGTGTTCACAAGTGACACTTTAAAAGCTTTTGTGCGCCGCCGCCCCCACCCCCAATTCCCGGAGCCTGCAGTTTGAGCACCAGCGGCTAGGAGACCCCCACACCGCTGCACTTTCCTTCTGATTTCTGGTCCTCTTGATAAGAACCTTAGTAAGACATTCTAGACCCCCCAAAAAAGCACTGACAGCATTTGTGACAGGAAAATGCCCTTAGATGCCAGGAGTTGCCTAGCTTGTTAGCTAGTTTCGCCTTGGATCTCTTTGAGATAAACCTGTCTCATCTCTGTGCCTTGGCAGCCCTAGCAGAGATCAGCCTGCAGATGGCCTTCCCCAAGCACAGAGTGACAAGAGAACTTTTTTTCCCCCCTGATGGGTTTTGGGTCCTGTGATCCAGGATGGGGGTTAGGCATCAGGGAGTGCCGTGCCTTAGGGGTGGTGGGGGCGGGCTTCTGAGCCAAGAAAATCTCAGGAAGGTTGATTTGCGAGGATATTTGCCACTGGGTGGGAAAGAAATCTTTGGGGTTCCCCTGAGCACGGTTGTGGGGAGCTAAATCATCCCTACAGAGCTGTGTGCCATCAGAGCTCAGTGGCTGTTTCTTTTGAAGTCAGCCCTGGGAAGGGGATGCTTCAGAGTGGAGATGTGGCAGAGGAGCAATGGGTGTTGCTTTATCCTTTTCTCTGCTTGCCGGTCATCTGCTGCAGCCCCCCTCCCCCCCAGCTGCTGGCCTCCCTCGCAGAACTGAGCATTGGCCTAGGGCGCACACAGAGCTGGAATCTTGAAGCAGGAGCTTTCCGAAGGGAAAATCTGCAGGGGAAAAGGCAGATAAAGATTAAATAATTCTTTCTTCTGCCTCTTCTCCATGCCTTTTTGGCGCTGGCTGAAGTAGAAGTGGATTTTCTGACATGTGTGCCTGTGATGTTGTGTTCGGTCCCGGTGGGCTTAGCATAGGGGTCGGCAACCTTTTGTAAACAAAGAGCCAAGCAACATCGAAATTCGGAGCAAGAGATGCACAGAGAGCCAGTATAAGAAAGCCTATTTGCCTAACTGAAAATAGACTCCTGAACGTAACTGATAACTGACCTGTTGATTAATTATCCGTAAAGTTTTTGCAGCCTAAACTTGTGAGCAAGTCCTTTATTAGGAAGTGGCACATATGAGATCTCGCAGTAAGTAACGCATAAAACAGGAGCATCGCACACAGTTGTTTTAATGCACTGGCATACATCTGCACATGGTTGAATTTTAAGTTGCTGGTAAGGATTGCCACCCCGGGTTTGGAAATACCTGGAGATCTGAGGGTGGAACCTGAGAGAGTAGGGTACAATGCCACGCAGTCCACCTTCCAAGGCAGCCATTTTCTCCAGGAGAAAAGGAATGAATGTTTTAAATAATTAATTAATTAATTAATAAGCAGTGTGTGCATTCTGGAGATCAGTTGTAATTCCAGTTCTCCAGCTCCCACCTGGAGGTTGGCAGCCATAACTGCTGGCAACTGTTCCCTTCTTTCCCTTTCTGTACAGCATCTCTACGAAGCCTTTCTGCCTCATAAAAAATATTTGCTTGCCATTCCGTTCACGTACTGGTTATTCGAGCATCCCACCTACCCCTCCAATATACTTTACCTTAAAGATTTTTCTTTTTAAAAAGAGCCGTATTTGGTTCTGTGTTGAACCACATGTGGCTCTAGAGCCATAGCATCCAGACCCTTGCTTAGTAGTTCTTTCTGTCCGTTCTGAGCTGAGGGCTACCGTACCAGAGGTTCCTGCAGTTTGGGCCCTGCTTTTGGAGGAAGCCTCAGTAGCACAGGCCCCTTTGACACTGGGCACCTTGTGTCAGTGCTTAATTTCAGAACCAAAAGACCCCTGGGCTTAGCCCTGCTTGGATGTCACACTCTCTCTGGAAGCCCCCAATTTATCCCTAACCCCAGAAATATGAGGGCTGGAATTAGATGGGATGATTTAGCTGAGTGGGAAGGAGTGAGCATTGGGAGAGGCCACTGTGTAGCTTTCGCCTTTCTTCTCCATGCAAACCATTCCCACGTATTTGAGGGCATACAGAAGTGTAATTGTGCGCACCAGAAGTTCACAGATATCCTTAACAGCCATTCTGGGTTATCAAGGTGTTGCTTTCTAGTGCTGTGAGCCAGAAGGTTGAATTCATTAATTAAAAAGCAAGAATTTTTGCAAAACAAAAAGTTTATTTTAAGGTCTCTGAGCAAAAACCCCCACAATGCACATCATTGGGATATCTTTAAAACAGAATACACTAAACCTTTCAAAGGAATGTGATTTGCAATATGTACAAAATTGTAACATTGCTGTTTACAGGATAGCTTTAAAAACTTTCAGAAATTTATTGTTAAAATATCTACTGATTGCCCTTCTTGTACTAGGCCTAGATATATTTATTTATTTCTCAGAAATAATATTTAACAATAGAAATCAACACTTTAAAATATCTTTCAAGCATCAGTTAATAATCACCTAATATATTCCCACATGGTTTTAAGTAACCTACCTTTCATGTGAGCGTCCTGTTGAAAAGAAGAGATACCTTTTCTACAACCCTAGGGTTGCCAATAACTTGGAGAAAAATGTCCTGTTATATACCTCTATGCCATAAAATGCTTCGCCTCTATTAAAAGGACAGGACTTTTTTTCTCCAAACCTGTTGGCCACCCTGTACATGTACCATAAATAAGAGCAACCATTTCAGTTAATTTTCTTACATTTTTATACTCTTTGTCCAAAACTATAATCCAATTTCCAATCCTTACTGCAAACAATAGAAGAAGGAAATAGCCTAGAAAGAGCTCGGTCAGGTTTGCTGAGTTAGATTTATCTAAAAAAACACAGGGATTAGCAGATCATTTGTCCTTATTCTTAAATTAAACTATTTTGTGAAACTCCCTAAAGCTCACAATCACAATTGCTGCTGAATTTTGTACCTATGTGGAGCTGAGTTTATATTGTATACTTCTGAGTAATAAATGCTGTGGAGAACAGCTGACCCCCTTTGGAGACAGAATACTGAATGAAGTGCCCTTGTCCGACCAACCTAGGCAAGGCAGTTCCTATGTATGGCTTCTCTTGCATGAAGGAGTGTGCCTGTATGTAACTAAGAGTGTAATCCTACAGAGTTCATCCTAGGGTTGCCACTCTGGCTTGGGAAATTCTTGGAGGGTTTGGGAAAGGCAAAGGTTAAGGAGGGGAGGGAGATCCACGGGGATGTAATTGCATAGAGTCCGCTGTTTCCTCCAGGGGAACTGATCTCTGTACTCTGGAGATCAGTCATCTTTGCGGGAGGACTCCAGGCCCCACCTGCAGGTTGGCAAGGTTACAGTGACCTTAGACTGAGTTAACTCTCCATTGGATTGCATTGTTAGTGTCTCCTCACTTGAGAGACGGAGGCAATTCCCCATGAGAGATGGAAATCTTCATGTGTTGAATAATCCTGAAAAAGTTTCAGTGGACTTGTCTTCACTGAAAATTTCTGTCTCTGAGGTGACTTTAGGTGACTGATGGTTCTTTCTCTGTGGTGTTTGATGCAGGTTTCCCCCCTGTTGTCAGGGTTGCTAGTGACCATTGTGCGTTGAGAACCAAAACGGGGGTTAATCTCCGCCAGGTTATATGAAGGACTGATAGCTTTAAAACGAAATGTTAAGAAATGCTTCAGAGCTAATGGCTAACAGGAGTTGAAGGACAAACAGTGCCATTCCAAGCAGAGTGACACTGTTTTAAGCCCCTTGTCTTAGAAAGGAGTAACTCTGGTTAGGATGACACTGTAAGATGTGAACCAGGATGTCCCCTGTTTTAAATGTTGCCTCTGTCCACTCACCAGATGGATTTCTTGGGTCCTGATCATACGCAGAATTAGCCGCGCGATAGGCACGAATGCCGGGCAGATTTTAAGGGCACGATCACACGGGAACATCTGGCAAGCGTCCTTCACCTTTCGCCAACCCGTTTCGCTCTGCCGAAGAAGCAGAGTTAAAAAATACCGGTGAAACTGCAGTATCAAACGGGTTTGCGACGGGCCGCAGACGGACTTCCCCGTGTGATTGCCCCGGCGCGCTCCCATTGCATCAGTGATCCCTTGTTGAAGCGCACCGGAAACATGCGGCGAAGGAAAAAACCCGATTCACCCGCCGCTGCGTCTGATCACACAGTGGTGGGTCAAATTGATATGTCGCAAAATGCTCCCCCCCACACATTATCTGGCACGTGTGACCGCAATCTTGGTCAGCGTTGAGCATCTTGACTACAATATTGACCTACCTTACAGGATTGTTTTAAGGATTACTGAGTTAATGTAAGTGAGCGACTAAATGAACGATATAAATCCTTGTTAATAATACCTGTTGTTGTTCTTAATAGGTGTAGTGTGTCTTTCCCTTCCCGCTAAGTACCTATGATTGCCCCTGTACATGCTAGAGATTTCAGGTTCAAAAACTCAGTCTTAAATCCTGGTGCCGTTTCCGTGTTCAATATATGTGTATATCCTGAATGTGGCAGTGATTATGGAGGACTAATTGGGTTGCCACCTCTGGGTTGGGAAATACTTGGGGATTATGCGGGTGGGCCCCAGAGAAGGCAGGGTTTGGGGAGGGGCCTGGAGAGCCACCACCAGTCTGAGTAGACAATACCGTCTATGATGGACCAAAGGTCTGATTCGGTATAAGGCAGTTTGATGTGTTCATGTGACTTCAGGAGGGTACAGAGGCATAGAGTCCACCCTCCAAAGCAGCCATTTTCTCCAGGGGAACTGATGTCTGTCAGCTGAAGAGCAACTGTAATACCAGGAGATCTCCAGACCCCACCTGGAGGTTGGCAACCATAGGACCAATCTGGGGCACGCGTGTTATTCCAGATGAATTCATCTGAAACAACAGAATGAGACAAAGGGTTGAAGGTGCTGAACCCAGAAGTCAGGAGTGACCCAGTGTAGTTCCACCGTTCCCTTTTATCCCACGAGTCGCACTTTCAGGCCGAGAGGGTTTCTGTGTATCTCCAAAGCTCACTTGCCTGACTGTTTTAGGATGCAAAAAGGTCATTTCGCTTGCTTGTATTGAGGTGCTGGATTTTTAGGGCATCCTGTTTTTTTCTTTCCTTTCTCGGGGTGTCTATCGAGGCGTAAAAACGAAGCAGTTGAGGTTGTGGGTGATGTCTTTGAGAGAGAACAAGAGAAGATACCACCGGCTCTATTCCCAGAGGAGGTCGGCCGTCTGTGTTTCTGCAGCCGCTGTTCTCACTGGAACCGTCTGCCTCGCACGCTCTCCAAGACGCTGAGCCAAGAAGGGGCCTCCCCGCTCTTTCCTGCCAGTGTCTGCGTGGGAAGAAGGGGGGTTCGCCTCTTCCTGCTGGAGACAGAAAACTTTCCCTCACAGAGGCTGGCTCCAGGTCTGTGCTTTCCTGCCCCAGTGCCAGAAAGTGGCAGCCACGGTGGTGAGGGGAAAGGCGGGAAGGGAGGAACCGACATGCCCTCCACCATATTATAAAAAAGGCAGTTAGGCTGCTTCAGAGCAAAGCAACCAGGTGGTAGTCAGTCAAAGCTTTTTTGTGGGAAGAAGTCAGTGGGCAGTCACATTGCCTATTGAAAGAGCATGTGCTTTGCATGCGCAAGGTCCCCGGTTCAATCCTTGGTGTCTTCAGTTAATGGGTCTTGGATGGCAGAGTCATGAAATAGTTGTTTGTTTGTTTTCTGGGGAACCCGCTGCTAGTCAAAGAAGAACAGTAAGAAGCGGTTGGCCCAGGGAGATGTGGGTTCAAATTCCCTAATGGGGTAACCTTGGGTTGCTGTCCTAACATAGCCTGATTTACCTCACAGAGTTCTTGCAAATTCTCCATAGAACAGCAGAGTAAAAATGTAAACAGAGAAGGAAGGTCAATTTAACTCCATATAAATAATTTTTTAAAAAATCAGAATTCCCCTGTGCAGATGCAGAGTGTTTTTCCATTACACTTCCTATCTTTAGCTAGCCTGTATATGTCTGGGGCTAGGAGGGGAGGTTTCCAGGCAGCCTTGAGCCCCAGAAACTCTCCTTTTTAAAATGTAACTTACCAAAATATTTCCCCTTCTTGAACGTGTGAGTTTTAAATGGTGCAGACAAGTTCATTCTGAAGGGTAGCAGTGCCTGATCTCTCCCCCCCCCCCCCCACAATACATTTTTGTTAAGGTTGATTCAACAGTGTAGCTCCCCTGTAACTTTAAAAGGAAAAATCAATTTTCACATTTTCAGTAACCTAAGCCTATTTTCCAGCATACACCCTGCAAATTGAGCCGTAACCCATTCTCTAGTTTTCCAGAACGTTCAAAAACAAAACACAAATAAAAAATCAGTCCGTATTAGCAGAGTCATTTGATCTGGATTCTGGCACAAAGGCAAGTAGGCTGATTTCCCCCCCCCCTCTCCTCCAGCAGCCATAAAAAAGCCAAAAACACTTTGAAAGAGAGTTCCAGTATGAGGTGTGGCTTTGGATCATGCTAGCAACTAGTAGGCACCGTGCGAAAGGAGGCTGTTGTGCCTCTTTATTAAGTACAGTTGGAAGATTTGGAATAATGGCTGCCTCTTTCGGTCGCCCCCCTTCCCTTGCTGCCCCCCCTCCATTTCCTTTGCTGGGTGGAGCTGCGGAAGGAATGAGCTCACAGTTGCTAATGTATTCCAGATGGAGCCTCGGCTGCTCTGTTTCCAGGTCTTGGCACCCTCCCAAACTCTTTCTTTCGGGGCTGCCCCCTCACGCCCCTTCTCTTTCACACATGGCTGATCTCTGCCCACGTCTGCCTGGCTGCTCGGTTCCATTTGGCACGCCGGTAGGGGGCAGCAAGCAGTCTCTAGGCATGAAGCTCCCTACGTGTTGCGGGTAAATCAAACCTGCCTGACTTTTAGCTTGCTGAGCGAGGCAGAATTTAGATAGGGGTCAAGGAAAAGGGGGACGGCCCTGGCACCAGAGCAGTGTCATGAGCCATGATGTGTCGCATGGGAGCGACAGATCAATGAAGGACGTGGTACTCGCGTGACAACAGAACAGTGTGGCTGGCTGCACTGCAGCAGGCTGGAACCCGGGCCTGTGTGTGATTATTTTGAGGACTAAATGGTGCGGTGATTTGCATGGGGTGTGGATTCCCCAGTGTCGTATGGACATCAAAGGCCCCCGTGGCTTATGGGAAAGCAGGGCAGGCCCACGGGTGCTGCTGGATGCTAGCCGCTATCATCCCACGTGCTCTCTTTTTTGTCTTCCCAGGAACCTGAACCGGTGGAGGAGTGTGTTCAGAGCACACTGGCTGCCTTGTACCCCCCCTTCGAGGCCACTGCCCCCACCCTGCTGAGCCAGGTCTTTGAGGTGCTGGAGCGGACGTACCAGCACGACGCCTTGCGCTACACCCTTGACTTCCTCGTTCCTGCCAAGCACATTTTGGCTCGTATCCAGAGCGAAGCCTGTGTGAGTCTCTGCATTGGTCTGGCTCTGTTCCTCCGGAGTACCCTTGGAACGGGAAATTGCCTCTCAGCACAGGGCCGCACAAAAGCCGTTTGTTCTGATGCTGGAATCTCAATGCAGCCCTCCTGAGGCTTAAAGTGATCTAAAGCTTAGCTCGAGAACCCTTTCTTCCGTCCCAGAGCTGCATCCTAGAATATTATTGTGTCTTAGCTCCATCACCCACCCAAACAATAATGCCCCACTGAATCAGCCCTGTGTGCCGGTCCAGTATTGAATGGTGTGTGTGTATGGTGAGGGGGGTAATTCTTTGGCTTTAGGGATATGACCGGCCTCACAGTCCTTTTGTATAACCAGGGTTGGGAGCATTTAACAACTGCAAAATACAAAGACAGAAAGCAGAGGTATGATTTAGTACCTGAGAATTCCAGCTTACATGTAAAAATAAAAGCAGGTTTCTAGTCCTCAGGACTATGAAAATATGCTTACAAGTGAAATGGTAAAATATTGGGCACTGGGGGAAAAGTTAATTTGTATTTCTGATGGTCAGATGGTGACTCTTTGTTCGTTTATAGTGTTAGGAGAAGCAGCATGCATTATGCAAAATAAGCACATTTAGGCGTTTATGCCTTATTTATCCATGTCCCAGAATTCAGTGTTTGTTGATTCTGTTTATTTTTAAAGTGCAAAGCGTACACAGTCCTTCTTATTTTTATTTACCTCATTCGTGCTGTACCTTTCTCCCCCCTGGGAAACCAAAGCGGTTTACATGGTTCTGCCCTCCTTCATTTTATCCTCCCAATGACCCTATGAGGTCTGTTAGGCTGAGAGCATATGACCGTCCCAAGCTCACCCAGCAGTTTTCCATCACAGAGTGGGGATTCGAACCTGGGTCTTTCAAATCCTAGCTTGACGCTTTAACCACCACACAGCACTGGGTGTCCAGATAACTCACCCTCTCCTTTTCTCTCTTTTACAACTCTTCAGGCCCAATACAGCGGCTTTGTCTTTTGCCACGAGGGTTGGCCGCTGTGTCTTCGAGAGAAGGTTCTAGTGCAGCTGGGTTCGTTGCCCTGGCAACACCTCTGCCCCGGCGATTTCTACCTGCAAGTGGTGCCTCACCGGGAGTGTGCCCCACGCCTGGTCCTGAAGTGCCTGTCTCTGGAGGGCCGTGGTGTTCAAGAGCTGCCTGTACCCCCAGACTCCTACCCGTTCCTCTTCACTGTCGAGTGGCTCAACGGCATCAACAAGGAACGCCGAGCCGGACGCCTGGAGCGCTGCCTGCTGGCAGACGGAGAGAAGGTGTTGAGCCTGCCCTGGGCTGAGCTGGTCTACCCCCAGTTTGTGCACAAGGACGGGTTCATTGTGGGGCAGCGCTGTCCCGCGGATTTGGCTCCTGAGGTGCTAGGGGCACGGAGTCCAGGGGACGGGCGCCACTCTGGTGGGGAGAACCGGGAGTCTGAGGGAGAGTACGTTCACCTGCTGGAGGTCAGCCCCACCCTGCACCAGGGGCCAAGGATTCCAGAGCCTTGTGGGGCTCAGATCCAGACGATGCCCGCCCGCAAGGGACACCACAAGAACCGGAGCCGGCGTCACCGGGCCTGGCTCCACCACAAGTCTGGGTGCGGGGAGAACTTTGCCTTGCGCAAGGCCTGCAAAAACCAAGAGGCCGAGCAGTCTAGTCAAGAGAGGAGCGCCCAGGGGGACAGAACTGAGCCACACCGAGGTAACCCTATCTGGGCCTCGGACCAAATGTCAAAGCCCTTCCAGGTGGTGGAGAGCCTGTGTTCCAGGCAACCGGTTCAGAACCAGGAGCCCTCTGGGGCTGAAGCACGACCAAATGTTTCCGGTGCAGCTGTGGCGGAGGACAACGGGCTCGAGAAAGCAGAGCTGCCGGGGCCTGTAAACCGAGATCCCACTCCGTCCAGGGAGCTCAGCGACGAAACCCCGTCTCCTGCTTCAGTGACACCAAAACGCACTGCCAAGGGGAACCGAAGGAAAAAGAAAGGTGCTGGGAGAGGCGCAGGGGGCCGAATCAGGCAGGGGGGTGACTCTGCCAACCAGGAAACGGGGGCTTCTGCTGATCTAAGAGACCCAGAAAAGGAAGAGATCTGCATTGGTACAGGAAAAGAGGATTCTGGGAAGGGAGAACAAAGCTTTACTAATGGCGAACAAGCCGTCAGCACTGAAGAATGTTGTGCGGGCACTGCCGATTGTATTGGCATCAGAGAGATAAGTGGCATTGAAGGAGATGGGACCCCTGGTGCTGCGGAGGAGGGTGCCAGCTTTGGGGAGCTGGCTGCAGGCGCTATAAAGTACGGCGTTGGCGTCAGAGAACCAGAGGACAGCGCGGAAAAATGTTCTGCTGGCGTAGAAGGCAGAACTGTTGCCACCAGAGAAAGAAGCATTGGCAGAGAAGACCCAAACCTTAATGCCAAAGACCAGGCTGCTGCAGTTGATGGTGGGGAAGAAAGCACAGGCATGGAAAAGCAGAGCGTCATGGAACAAGGGGCCGCTATGGAAGGGCATTGCATGGGAGAGAAGAGCCTTACCGTTGGCATGGAAGAAACACTGCTGACCAAGTTGCCAGGGAAGGAAGAGCCAAGCGTCGATGGGCAAAAGGAAGCCCCAAATGTTGCAGCTGAACAGGCAGTGGAGGACATACAGACGGCCCCTCTGCCTGCTCCGGTTCCTCTCCAGCAAGCTGTAGACTGGGATCTTTTGTGCTCAGGTGTCTTTGCGCTAACAGGTAGGTTGGTGCAAGATCATTTCTGGGCCAAGGGAATGCTCAGTAATGGGCTCGTTTTCTCCTTCCCGTGGCCCTTAAAACGTAAAGAGAATGTTGTGTCAGTATCATTTCCGTTTTATCAGCAGAGACTCTGTGGCTTGTTAGTTTAGCTAATTTATTTATTAATAGGCCACCTTTCTCACTGAGACTCAAGGCAGATCGCACAGTGTACGTCAGTACAGTCGAATAGCATGAGGCATCTAATGAGCAACGCTGTAGGACTAGTACTGCAAAAGTTAGAAACAGTGCAGAAAATATTAGACAGATAAGCCAGACCATGTAAGTGGTACCTTTCAGCTGATTTTAAACCACTTTCCAAGTGTTGCTGTCTTTGCCCATGGAAGGCATTGCAAAAGATCCCAAATGTTCTTTACTCCCCGCAGTAACACATCTGTTCCTTGGAAATCATATTGTCCCTGAACTCAATCCATGACGCTCAGTTCCTGGGATAATGTCCCATCCCATCACCCTGTGTGTAACCACAGTAATTACTATAATGGCTATTACTTGTACTGTGGTTACACTTATGCGAGGTACCTACACCAGTTTGGTGTAGTGGTTAAGTGTGCGGACTCTAATCCGGGAGAACCGGGTTTGATTCCCCACTCCTCCACATGCACCTGGCTGGATGACCTTGGGCAAGCCATAGTTCTGGCACAGCTGTTCTTGAAAAAGAGCAGTTTCTGTGAAGAGCTCTCTCAAGCCCCACCTACCTCACAGGGTGTCTGTTGTGGGGAGGGGAAGGGGAAGGCGTTTGTAAGCCACTGTGAGACTCCTTTGGGTAGTGAAGGGCGGGGTATAAATCCGCTCCATCTCTGCATTGGTAAGATGGACTCTTCCCCCCCACCCCAGCCCTCCATTATTCTGGGATGGGGACAGAGCACCACATTTGCCGGATGGAACTGGTGCTAACAGAATTGGATAAGCAGGGCAGTGGTTGAGAATTGCCCTTCGCACAAGGTGAAGCAAGGCTTCTGTCTCAAGGGCAGATTGTGACTGCTCTTAAAGACTGCCGAATGGGAGGCAGAGCTGACCTATGGGGAACAATCCACCAGGAAGTACTCCAGCATAAGCCACACTGAAATGAGGAAGAAGTTATTTTGTTCATTTCAGTGGGGATTTCTCCAGGAGAATTTCCTGGGGGAGTTGTGCTGTATATTCACTATAATGTGCTCCTGGAGTAGTGCCATTCTGATTTTCTGCCTCAGTCATTTAAATGACTTGGGCCAGCCCTACCTAAACAAAATGCTCAGTTGTAGTCTTACGCGATCTTTAATGGGGGCTGACTTCCTGAGTAAACTACAGAAGGGGGCCTGGATTGTAATGGAAGAGTGCCCTATAGGGCCGGTTCACCAGTCAAGCCACCCAGGTGACTGCCTGAGGCAACGCAGTGAGGAAGGCACTGATACACCTCAGGGGGGTTGGATCAGCAGGATCACTGGAGTAGTGCCATTCTGATTTTCTGCCTTAGTCATTTAAATGACTTGGGCCAACCCTACCTAAACAAAATGCTCAGTTGCAGTCTTACGTGATCTTTAATGGGGGCTAGCCCCACTGAACACAGGCTGACTTCCTGAGTAAACTACAGAAGAGGGCCTGGATTGTAATGGAAGAGCGCCCTATAGGGCCGGTTCTCCAGTCAAGCCACCCAGGTGACTGCCTGAGGCAACGCAGTGAGGAAGGCGCTGATACACCTCGGGAGGGGGGTTGGGTCACCCCCAGCCATCAGCAGGATCGGCAGTGACTTGGCTTGGTGTCACCTCCTACACTGGTGCTGGCCAGGTCCAAGCCATGGCTGATGGTAGAGCAGGCCCAGACAGTGACGGGGGGAGCTTGTTTGGGGCCAAAATATCTTGAACGGCTGTGCATATAGATAGTCCAGCCTACACATTACAATGCAGTCTTGTACTCCCAAATCCACTCCCCCTCCGGAGATCTCTGCAACAGTGTTTTTAAGCTGCCCGATCCCACTGTCCTTTAGCTAGCATTCAGCCATCTTCCTGAATGTCATGACTCTGAGGAAAGCAAACCAACCTCGCTCTGGCCACACCACAACGGTTTGCAAAACCCCAAAACCGCTCCCCGACTCGAAGCCACAAGACATGACTCAAAATAACACCAGACCCTGATCACGTTACAAAAGGCATGCCACTTTCAAAATGGGAGGCAGACCTCCCTGAGGGGGTTGATTGGAAACATAAGCAGAGACAGAACAGAGAAAAGGGGAGGGGGAAGGGGAGGAAGGGATAAAAGGGAGAAAAACTTGCTTTAGAAGAGCTTGTGTCACTCACTGACTCCTAAGAACCCTGCCCCCAAAGTCTCCCTGATTAAAGTACCAGCCAGATCTTCTTGAAAGCTCATGAGCCAGGCATGAGAGAGACAGCCATCTCTTGTTGATCGTTCTGTGTATCTTCGTATTCACAGCTACACTGCCTCTGAACCTAGAGATTCCATTTAGCAAACAGCTATTGGTAGACCGAGTCTCTGTGAAATTGTTTTTTAAAGGACACCTGAGATTGGATGGGAGACCACCGAGGAATACCAGGCTTGCAATACAGAAGCAGGCAATGGAAAACCACCTCTGAATGGCTGCGGTCACACACACGAAATAATCCACTTTCAGTGCACCTTCCAACTGAATCTTGCCAGTCCACACAGTAGTCCAGTTGGAAAGTGTACTGAAAATGGATTGAAAGTGGACTATTTAGTGTGTGTGTGTCCACAACGTCTCTGGCCTTGAAAATCCCATGGAGTCACCATAAATTATAAGTAAAAGGTAGTGAGGCAAATGAACCCCCCCCCTTCTATGAATGCTGCAGAGACATTTGGAATCACCTGTAACCAGAGGTCATTTCGGGGGGAATCGCGGGGGATCGCAGTTCCCCTGGGTGAGGTACATGGGTGGTTTGCTTGTTTTCTTCCACATGTGCCATCAGATAGGCTAGCCAGCTCTGAGTTGGCAATACCTTGGAGATTTTGGGGGTGGAGCCTGAGTGGTGGGTTTAGATTCAGAGGAATTAGCTGTGTTAGTCTGTTGCTGCAAAATAGTCCAAGAGTTCAAATAGCACCTTTAAGACTAACCGTTAAGTCTAAGACTAACTGAGTGGTGGGTGTGGCCTTATGACACACTTCCGGTGATGGCAGGGCGGGGGTGTGGCCTTATGACACACTTCCGGTGATGTCAGGGGTGTGTGGCATATGCTAATGAGTTATGCTAATTAGTTCCCCTAGCTCTTTTTCTACTAAACGACCCCTGACGGTAACAATGTTCTGTGTTTCCTGCTCAGCACAGAGGTCATCTGAAAAGACTCTTAGTGTGGATGCAGATTAATATTTTTAGAGTAAATCTGCAACCAAGATGCAGTAGACAAGAAAAGTGGAAGAAATTCCACAGTGGTGTTGCTGTGTTTCTAGGAACAGGTTAATATAATGGACAGGGAACATGGGGGGGGGGAATTGGCTCTGTTTTAGCCTTAATCAGAGGTCATTTCGGGGGGGAACGCGGGGGAACACAGTTCCCCCGGGTGAGGTGCAGGGGGGCAGGGCACATGACGAAGCCCCGCCCCCTGCTTCTGGCCGCCCCGCTTCCAGCCCTCATTCAGCCAGGAGGAGGCAGGAGAAGAGGGAGGGTAAGTTGCTTCCTCCCCGCCTCTCCCCACCCCTGCCTGCCTGGGGCCAGGGAGGGCCTTGGCGGGGCTTCCTCACACTCCCGCTGGCCTTGCAGGTCCATCGCCGGGCCCCTGATGTCAGGGGGTGTGGCATATGCTAATGAGTTATGCTAATGAGTTCCCCTAGCTCTTTTTTTACGAAATGACCCCTGGCCTTAATTTTGTAAATTATTATGTAAATTCCATGTTTGGAATCAACTGTAAGTTACTAAAAAGGGGAGGAGAAATACTGGGTTGCCAGTTCACATCACAAAGTTTTATTTGTTTACTTAATATATACCCCGCTTTTAGGGACCTAAAGTGGTTGACAACATTCTCCATCATCCCTGTGATGTAGATTAGGATGAGTGTGTGTGACTGGCACAGTGTCCCACGGCAATCTTCCTTGTCAGAGTAGGGATTCAAACTTGGATCTCTTAGATCCTAGTCCGAACTCTAACCACTGGACTATTGACAGACATGACCGTAGAATTCCATGCTAAGAAATTCACTCCCAGGCACATGTGGGCCCAATTTGGATTGGGGCCTTCTCCCCACTGCCATTTTCCCAAACCAAATCAGGTCCACACAAGCCTGGCAGTAGTCCAGATGTCTACCACATGGACGTTGTAACGTGTGAATCGATTTTGAGTGATCACCCAAGGCCTGATTATCTGGAGATTTCCCATACCAGAGAGCCCTGTCTGCAAACTGTATGTTATATAACAGCTGCTGTGTGGCGCTAATAAATGGTATGTGCTTACAGGAAATGGAATTTTTGGATCAGTGGATTATAGTGCTTTTTCCAACTCTGAACAGTAACATAATGCTGGGAAGATGGGGCAGAAATTTTTTTATGGAGAATGAGCTCAGAGGTTCTTCCTGTGACTTTAGAAAAAAAAAGTTTGTTTTTTGTTTGGTAGGAGCAGATGGCTTATGTACACTGGCGGCCTGTGCTGAAATGTGTCCTCTGTCTTCCCTAACCTAATCCAGTATTATTATAAACCCTGTGCCAGTGGGCAAATGCTACAACATTTTCTTCCTTGGAGTAGCTGCATCTAGAGGGCCTTTCCAAACTGGCATACCCTGGTTTGGGACCAAGTGTACTCTTGAGAAGGAGCTTCATCCAACCCAGTCTCAGCAGAGGATCGATTCACACATTATATTTTAGTAGGGTTGCCAGGTCTGAGTTGGAAAATACCTGGAGACTTTGGGGATAGAGGGCGGGGTTTGGAGAGGGGAGGGGCCTCGGCATAGTAGGACGCCATGGAGCCCACTCTTCAAAACAGCCATTTTCTCCGGGGGAGCTGACCTGTGTCAGCTGGAGATCAGTTGTAAAAGTGGGAGATCCCCAGGCCCCACCTGGAGGCTGGCAACCCTATCCTAAAACTGCAATATGTAAATTGATACTGTGAGTCTACTCGGCCATAACAGAATTTGTTCTGATTTCAGCCTCGGTTCTATCTTCTGAATCCTGTTCTAGATGACATTGTATTTATCCTTTTCCTCTCAGGAGTGATTCCCTCTGATTAGATTCCTGTGGAATCTACTGTTTGATGTCTCCTCCCCATATGAAGCAGAGAAGTTGGTGTGATGTCACGATTAAGCCATTAGACTGAGGAGACATGGGTTCAAATCCCCACATGGCCATGAGGCTTTCTGGGTGATCACAGCCACTCTTGCTCTTCCTCTCTTTCTCTAGTCATATATTTATTTATATCCCACTTTTCTCCCCAGTGGGGATCCAAAGCAACCCCCCCTCTTCTGTTGCATCCTTAGAGCAACAACCATGTGAAATAGGTTAGAGTGACAGAATGTGACTTGGCCCAAGGTCGCCTAGCAAGCTTCCATGGCTGAGTGGGGATTTAAACCTAGGGATAATGTTCCAACACTAACCACTACATCTCTTTCTCTGTGTGCCTGTGTGTAATTTTCCTCACAGGAGGGAAGAACCACATATGCTGCTTTGAGTTCCTTGGAGAAAGAGTGACATAATTCCTATTCACTTATATCTGTTTTCATGCCCCTTGCACTGCATGCTGGGAATGACTCATCTATCCCCTTACGGGGCGGGGGACATGAGACTGTCTCAGTGCTCGGTTAGACTGTCATAGTGAACTTTGAGGGAGACACACCAAGAGGCATTTCTACTTGAGCCCCACATAAGCCTCTCAATGAGAGTTAATCTTTTATGTACTAGGAACACAACTGTATTATTGGTGGAGGGAAGAACAGAAGCACAGAGAAAGACAGCAGAATTTTCCACAGGGGAAAAGAAGGCTGTCTGGTTTTGTGGCCCAGTTCACACAAACAGGTAGCCACACACTGGCCGTGAGGAGCTGTGTGTGTGGCCTAGTTCTGTTTGGCACTTGGCAATGACCACACAGGTCACTGTGCAGAGCAAATAATTAGAGTTCAGAACATTTCTAGAGTGACCCATAACCGGAATTTTTGGTACTAAATGGAAAGCTATAATTGCCCATTATGCTCCATCCATGAAAGCTGGGACATTGCTGTGACCCTGTATCTTTATGGTGTAAATTCTTTGCATGTAATGTTAGCAAATACAGTAACAGCTGAGTTCATTGTAGTACCTGACGTGTCAGCCATGACTACATTGTTACTGGTCCCCAGGACAGTTACCCAGTTTCTGTGAGATTTGGTTAGCTACCGTGAGGTTGCTCGTTCATGTGAATCAGGCCTGAGAGTTCTCCCTAGTTCTGGGCAAATTGGTGTAGAGCTAGGCCCAGGGGTCATTTCGTAGAAAAAGAGGTTCAGGAGCTCATTAGAATAACTCATTTGCATATGCCACGCCCCCTGACATCACCGGAAGTGTGTCAGAAGGCAACACCCACCACTCAGGCTCCACTGGACTGTTTGTGATTGCTAGCTATTGGGGGGGGAACGTGCAGATCTGTCGTCACAGAGGAGAGAGAGCTTGTACCTGAATAAAACTCTGTCTTAAAGGTGCCACTGGACTGTTTTGGACTGGGGGGCTGGGGGGGGGGCTCTGCAGCTTACCTGGCTGGTTCTTGCTCTGACTGAGGGCTGCTGGGAGCAGGGGGCGGGGCTTGTTGCATGTGCCCACCCCCTGGGCTCTTTACTGCCGGAGCTCCACTCCTGTGCGCTCCTACAGGAAATGACCTCTGGCTAGGCCTTATAATTTCCTTGTGTTTCATCTCAACAGGAGGAATGGACAGGGCTGGACGGTCTTTGCTGACTGTGGTGCCTCAGCCTATTCGAAACGGGCTGCCCCCAGGACAAGATGTTCTGGTCAACACCCTGAGATACCTGCACTCACTTCTCAGGTGAGAAAAATAATTGCCTCTAAGGGAAGAATTCCTAGGATGAGTCACAGGAAATGCAGTGTGTCATCCTGTCTGGATCAACTGCTGCATTAGAAATGTAAAGGAGTTTTAAATGAGGTTGATTGCTGGGATTTCCCTAGGAAACAAACCCCCCCACAAAAACAGTTAACTAGTTTGTTGCAAGAGGTGGCAAACTCTCAAGCTGCAGGTGAAGAATTGCATTTTTCCAAATACCCCATCTTAATTAGACTATGTTAGCAGAAACATGGTACAGCATGTGAACGTCTAGGCTTAAAACTTTTCCACTGTGTGTTCATTTTTTAATAGGGTGTTTTTCCATAGGGGAGCAACAAATATATGACGCACCTCCAGTGTAGTCCAAAGTGGTACTATAGTATCACCTCGGAATTCTACCACCTCAGGAGACCAACTAGGTGAAACAGGTGTTGCTGGGGATGTGGCACCATTTTGTAGAATGAGTTCCCACTGGGAAGCTCCTTTCAACAAGGCCATGGGTCCAATCCTATGCTGTGGTGTGGAAGTCCCAACCAGAATTGGGCCCCCACAGGTACTGATAAAAGGAGTCCCCTGGTGGGAGCTCACTGTGCAAAATGGCAGCACATTGCTGGGGCAGTCTCGGAAATGCCCGTCTCATCTAGTTTCCCCCTCACTGTTCTACATGTGTAGACCAGGCCTCAGTTGGTATCTTTAAAGCTTAACTGTAACTGCTCAAATGTATGTAAAGTGCTTTGGACAACTTAGTAAAATCACTATTATGTTAATTATGCTAACTGTAGTTCAGTAACCCCATTCCCATCAGCACCCTGCTCTTCAAGTCATGTTTTCCATCATCCTATGTGAGTTAAACATGCATCAGAGCCCCCCCTCCCCCCCAGGAACAAATGGATGTCCAGATGAGGGTCTCAGTTCCACACAACCTTCCTGTATGTAAAATGGGTATAATCAAGGGCTGTGGTGGAGTCATTCTGAGGATAATGTAAAGAAACACTGCTAGATAATAGTTCCAAATGAACAAGGAAATGTCCCAGCCAGCTGTCATATTTTGTTGATGTTGCTCTTTGGATGACTGCTTGCTAGCCCCTGCTGAGTGAGCCTGGCCTCTTGGTGCAAACTGTGGCCTCATTTTTCCCTTTTCCCCTCACAAATGTTCCAGGAAAGAGCAGGAGGCCTTGGGGATGACTGTGCTCCTGGACCTGAGCCAGGTGGACGACTGGGCCCTCCAGGCTCCTGTGCTGTTGCCGGCCTTGAGGACGTTCCAGGTATGAAGCTCTCTTTCCGTGCCCCCCCCGACTCCCCCCATTCCTCTGTGGGTCATGTTGATTTGCTTCTTATGTTGTGCATTCTGTTGTCTATTAAGATGTACAGTTTCTAAAAACGAACAAAGAACCTCTCAAAGAAATTATTGTTGCAATAAATTAAAATTGGTTTTTTATTTATTTATTCCTTCAATTTATATACCGCTCAAGGAACACAAAAAGGAAAAGAAAAAAATGATAAAGAGGAAAAAACGTCGCCAGCAGTCTCATAGTATAACGGTTTATGTATTTGTCTGAAGTTATTGAACGTGGCCCTTTCTCTAAGTTCCTCAGCCTAAGCACTCAAAATGGCACTAGACTAAAACACTCCATTTCTAAGACGTAACAAGGCACAGGCTTTGGTGGATCTTCGTGGGCCAACAGCTGTGTTGTTGCAGAGCAGATGTTTGAGGATGCCCTTCCCCATGAGGGCTTGCTGTATCCCACGGATCATTGCCGCGCTTATGGCTATATTTTTGTGTGCCCCACAACCTCAACATTGGGCTTCCCCCGCCTGTATCTTGTCATCCCTGGCTTCTGCCCTATCTATCTACGTTCTGTCTGCATGAAAATGAAACCTGTTTTGCTTTTAGGAGGCTTCTCCACCACCCCTGAGTCAGTTGCTGGCAATCTTACCCCCTGATGACCGCTTCGTACCCCATGAGGAGGAGTTGGCCTTGGATCCTGCTGTGGTACGTTTCCAGTGTAGCAGCCTTGAAGGCTATTCATTAGGGGAACTGTATGTGAAGAACGCTAACAACATGGACTGAACCCGGAAACAGAGTCTTGTAGAGGAAAAAAAGGATAAAAGTATTGTCTGTCATCATGACCTGAACCCTGCTAATGACTGGAGAATTCTGAGCAGGTTACACAGATTAGCCTCAATATTTTAGTAGCCCCCATTCAGCTTCTTATTTGTTTTACCCGAACATTCCACCCAGCTGAAGTCTGTTAAGCAACCCACGTCCTTATAGGGAGGGACAGATCACACAATGTATTTCTATACACTTCAGTGCTGTTCAGTTAACTCTAATGCATTTTGGGCCAAAACTGCTGCTAAACTAGGTGATCTATAATGGAGCTGTGTAATAATGCTGGAAAAGGTCTAAATGGCTACCCCGTGGGATGCTGCAGAGTAAAAGTGTGAAGAGGCTAAGTAACATCGCTTTAGCTGCAGCTGAAATTTCACTACATATTTTTACACAGCAATTTGTGTTCAAGTGTTGTGGGGATGGAGGGCTTTGGGTTGGACAGTATTGAAGGCGCTGCGTTGCAGAAATGGTTTGTGTCCGAATCAGTCTCTTTCATCTGCAGGAGGTGGTGGTGCTCTCTCTTCCTGAGCTGTCACGTTACGTGGCCCTAGACCAGCTGACTCCTGCACTGGGTGGGGCCTTGCACCATTCACCACGCAAATGGGTGGGGGCACGGCAGGTAAGAGAGACTCAGAATAAAGCGGCCCTTGGGTCGCCCCACTGTGCTCACTCTTGGGAAAAAAAACCCTCCAACCTGGCACAGGAACTCTGCCTTTACCTGCCTACTTATGGCCAAGCTACACAATATGGGTGTTCCCTGGGGCCGGGCCGCCATTTTGAAGTAGTGAGTTCCCAGTTGGGAATTCTTTTAGATTGTGCTGCAGGGTCCCAGTTCTGCTTGGAACCACTGTGGCATGAAGGATCTCCTTCCCCCCCCCTCCCTGCTGTTTTTTGAACCAAAATGGTACTGGAGGGGAGTATATGGGCAAATAACACCTCCCCCAACTGTTTCAGGTCAGAAGAAGAAGAAGAGGATGGATTTATACCCTGCCCTTCACTTGGAGTCTCAGAGCGGCTTACAAACTCCTCTCCCTTCCCCTCCCCACAACAGACACCCTGTGAGGTGGGTGGGGCTGAGAGAACTCTGACACAAACTGCTCTTTTTCAAGGACAGCTGTGCCAGAGCTTGTGACTGACCCAAGGTCACATCAGCAGGTGCAAGTGGAGGAGTGGGGAATCAAACCCGGTTCTCCCAGATTAGAGTCTGCACACTTAACCACTGCACCAAACTGGCAGGGGGAGGCAGGAGCCCATCCTCCTCCTGTGCTGTGGCGGTACTGACCAAAATCAGCTGCTTGTGTTTCATTTATTTATTTATATATTTGTTTGTTTTTACCCCGCCCTCCTTGCCAAGGCAGGCTCAGGGCGGCTTACGTAGGAAACAATAAATAAAACAATATAAATATTGATCTAAAATACATGATGTGTTGCCTTTTAAAGTCCTTCCCAGCTGGGAACTCAAAGCTTCAAAATGATGGGCGCCCTTGCAGACACCCATACCATCTACCTTGGTTCTTAGTATACTGACCCCCTCCACCCCTCCTGACTTCCAGACCTACAAGAACCTCCTCTTCACATAACCTCATCCAGACTCTGGGCCAATGCTCCCTCTAAGCTGTAGAGTCTTGTGAGCAAAAATTCTACTTTGTGAGCTCCTGGCATTAAAGTTGTGAGTGAGCGATTTGGCTACTGCATCAATTAGTTTGCTCTGGAGCCCTGCTTCCTGAGTGGAGACAAAAAATGTGTGAGCCAAAGCCTAAAAAACTGTGAGCTAGCTCACACTAACTCAGCTTAGAGGGAACACTGCTCTGGGCTATACGAACCTCTCACCTAAGTCCCGTGTCCTCAGTTGCAAGTACCGTATGCTCAAGCCACTGTGAAGTCCTAGATCGGGAGAGTTGTTCTCGGTGACCTTCGCATATCTTGCAAGTCCCGCCATTTTGTGATGCTCGCTCTCGTTCTTTTCGCAGGCTCTTGAGCAACTGCAGACACTCTGCTGCAGCGTCCTAAAAGCCGTGTGTGAAGCCAAGGCCCACCTCCAGGCAGTGGGAACAGCCATGAGTCAGGAGGTAGGCCTGCTCCAGAGATCGCCAGTTTAGCTCTGTGGACGGAAGCACACCCACCGTCTCTATAGCTTCCTTCCACCAACTGTTACCCCGGGAGAACAACCTTCACCCCTACTCTTGTATTTGATCTGTGCCCTTTTTGTGAGAATCCATCTGTTAATTAAAGTGTGTGATAGATGCCCTAAATAATTGGGGGCTGTTCTTGGTTCACATCTGATTTCCTCTTGTAGTGACTGTATGCCACTGTGTGACACAGAGGCTGTGGTCACACACACTAAATCATCCACTTTTCAATCTCTGAACCGGCAAAATCCAGTTGGAAAGTGCATTGAAAGTGGATTATTCAGTGTGTGAGACCGCAGCCTCTGAGTGTTGGGCTGGAGGGGACATTGGCCTGATCATTGTGGCTTTTCTAATGTTCTTAACATGCTCTTTGTCTTCAGCATCTGAAGCCGGGCCAAACATATGAGCCACCTCAGATCTATCTATAGACTTACTGTGGCCCCGGCCAGACGTGCCGGAAAACGCAGGGGGGTGCGGCTATTTGCGTCGTCGCATTCTGATGCGCTATTATGTGATCAGACGCGGCGACGGCTTCCCCGCAGCAAAGAGGACGACGGGGGAGGAAGCCGTGTGCTGGCGCAATCACACTGGGAGGCTTCCATAGGCGGCCCGTGGCAAAGCATTTGCTAGTACATGCGGTGTGCTAGTTTTTTTACTGCGCAGCTTCGGCGGCTTGCCACGGGTTCGCCACGGGAGTGCTACGCCTCCCAGATGTTCCCGTGTGATCGCGCCCGGATACTCCGCGGGACTCCCGTGCCTTCAGCGGGGCAAATGCTCCGTGTGACCGGGGCCTGTGTTTAATTTATGTTACTCCTAAAAATAGTCATAGGGCACACAGCAGCTCCTTCAGAGAGACTGAAACCTTTTGTGTAGTGTGCATATTTCAAAGGTACTGTCACAATAGTGAGGCTGAAAAACTGAGGCCTACTCACTGAAGTAGAGACCAAGCCTAACTCGGAGCTGTATTTCTTAGCCTGCACATGGAGGCTGATGTGATTCAATGCTCCTCAAAACAAAGAATTCCCCACACAGGCACTAGCATGTTAGGGAGAAACTAAGGTACATTCCTTCTTCCTGACACCTAGTTGTCTTTCTGCAGGGAATCGTTTTGTTTGGAGGGGTTTGAATTGCGTGAGCTCCCACCTGCTGTCTGAAGGGCTACAGGCCACACAAACAATGGCCACCTTGGTGCGAAATAAGCCTACACGTCTTAGGAATTGGGTTGCCCAAGCCAAATTTCCAGCAACCGGGAAATGGGGCTTTGGTGCCCTGCATAGCTCTGTGCCCTTTCCCCAACTGACAGGAACGGAGGACACACCACTGTAAAGAGTTTGTCCCACTGCCTTGTGTTGTTGTGGTGAGGCTGTTGTGTGCAGAGCGAATTACGACTGCCAGGTTGGATGGCGATACCCTGTACTCCAGCGTTGCGGTGCGCCTGTTTGGGGCTGATGGCCTGGTTTGTTAGCTCCACCTCAGCCTTCACTCTGCTGCATTCACCAGCATCTCCTCCCCCACAGGAACCGTTGGCACAAATCGCCTCACACCAAGAGACGATGCAGAAACTGCTGTCGGAGCCCCAGCTCCTGGAGCTCCAGCGCCATGGAGGGGCCTTGCTGGCACAGCTGCCTGCACTGGGGCCACACAGGTAAGGAGCTGGAGTCTACAGCAGGACCCTCCCTCACCCCCTCCTGTGTTTACTTTTTATTTACATTTCTCCCCAGTAGGGACCCAAAGGGGCTTCCAACTGTTCTCCTCTCATCCATTTGAGCCTCACAACAACCCTGTGAGGTAGGTTAGGGTGAGAAGATGTACCTGGCCCAAAGCCACCCAGAAAGCTTCTGTAGCAGAGTGGGGATCTGAACCTGGGTCTCTCAGATTCTAGTTTGACAGTCTAACCACTAAACCACATTGGCAGCCAGTGTTTTAAGGCAGACTTCTTCCAGAACGGCTATTTGTCAGCACAGTTGTGTCAGACAATTACACCGCCAGGTGACCATCCATTTCAGTATTGTTCAGTTATGCCTCCTGCACTTTGAATGAACCCTGTAGAGCTTGAGGGAACTCTAATTACTGTGCGTTTAAAGCTCCATAAGGGCTGCTTGTGCACCCCCGGGGCCAGTCCTACTAGAGAATCAAGGTAGGCGACCATCTGGGGAGTCAGATTTCCGGGGTCACTTCCCCTACCGTGTCTTGGAAAGTGAGAGGAGCTGCTTGCATTGCAGTGGGTAGAAGAGATGCACCGAGGCAACTTGGTAGTTTATTGGCTGGGCAGCAGGCCTTTATCCTGGGGCAGCCAATCTCCATTAGCCCCCAAGAATATAGAGAGGGTTATAAACAGGGAGCAAACAAAGAAGCGATGATCATTAACAATAAAAATATGGTATCCTGCATGCTGTTTATCAATTTTTTATAATGTATTTTTTAAAAATATATTAATTTAGGGAATTTACAGCCCTCCTTTCTTCTCAAGGCAGTTTACATCAGGAATCGA